TATGCCTCTGGAATCCTTGCACTGTGGCACTTGCCTTCACTTAGATTAAAAGGAATGTGGGAAATAGAAAACCAGGTAGGATATTGATAGATTATCATTTACATATGTTTTAGTATCTTCGACCATGGCTGACCAACTTCTGGCCTGATCCAGCACCCTGTCATTGGGAAGATCCAATTGTTAAAATTTCTGAAAATTTAAGTGTGTACAATAAGAAAATACCATCTATCTTACTTTTTTAAGAAGCAAAGTATTATACACATAAAACTTACTTATCAGTAGCTCTACTTGTACAGGTTGTTAAATAGTAATCCAACCTGCAAGTGGATTGCTGAATTGGTACATGAACCTCACTAGTTTGAAGTTGGACAACCCTGTTTTATTCAGAGTGTCTGCTGAATAATTCAAAAGTATAAGTTAGTAGCATGAATGCTGCATATCCTTTAAAACTTATATAAATATAGTTTTACTGCATTGATTAAAAGACAATTAAAAATATTATACATTTACATATGTATGCTGTTGAAATGATGTAGCTCTATAGTACTGTGTTGTGGGAAAAGAGAAAGCTCTTTCCAGCATCATTTGTTTATTTGTTGTAAAAAGACACACAAATCTATTTTAATATACACTTCATTTTTATATTTATATTGTTTTATTTAAAACACTAAAATGTTTTTCTAGTTCCCAAATATTTAAGATGTTAGCTTAACATGCAAATTCAGGAATTATTGAAAAAAAATTTAAAACTTATATTGATACATTTTAAGATGGGTCTTTGTGGTTGAAACAAGAATAAATAAATTCATAGTAACATAAACACAAAAAACATTTGAGTTAATTTAATTTAACTTTTACAGCCAGACTATGATAAGGTGAACCCTTACTACCTCATTCCTGGGAAAAAGAAAAAAGCTCAATCATTACTCACCAATCCCTTTAGGTACCATATACTGGACATCAGCTGGTGGTCAGAAAAGGTAAATTATGTACTTTAAAATAGTAATATTGCATGTACAGAAGGTCATTTACACTTTTTGGAAACAATGATTAAGTTTGACATTCAAGTACTGAAGACCTTATTTTTACTAAAATTGTACCCTATCTGCTTTCCCAGATTCTTAACAATGCCACTGAACCAATATTTCCATTAAATCAGACTTCATCAAAGAGATATGAGTGTTGTACCACCAATCTTTGCAACTTTCCTTAACTAGCTGATGTTTTAGGTTTATGACTTTCAAGCTTATGGTAAACCTTTTCAGTACTAGATAAGTACACGAGTATGTAATGGTTGATTGCAATTGTGTCATGAGGACCCTCTTATTTATTTAAATAAATGTACTGGTTGTTATTTTTGGTCTATACTGTCATTTTCCATGTAATCTATTTTGACAAATAAAATTGTTAAGTTACAAGAACCAAGATTGCATTTAAAATTATTTTAATTTTGTGGGCTGCAAATGTTTCAAATAACATCATTTTGCTGTTGATAACATGGAAAAACAAGAGCAACTACTATGTAACTTAGACTACCATGTAATTGCTCAGTTTTTATTAAGTTGTTTTTAAATTAAGTACAAGTGTTATTTATTATTATTTATTTTATTTTTTATATTTCAGCTTTACTTAATATTTTTATATTATTTCACTAACTTCTTCATGTTGCTTGATCAATGCTACCAAAAAGTACTGCAATTGTTAGATTAACCTACTAACCATTTCTGTGACTTATATTTATGGTTACACGCTAGAGGTGTCTTTAGCACTAACCAAAGCACAGGCTCCCCTCTCTCCAATTATAGAGTTATGTTACAGTACATCTGGTAGTGCAAAGTCCAGGTAGTGTGAGACCATCCCTAATAGTTAATCACCTACCAATTTTTTACACCAACTTCCCAGTATAAATAAGAAGAGATTTTGCTTTTAATATAAAGAAGTGTTGGTCAAGACTGTTAACCACCACTGAACACTATAGAAAAGACCTACTGCTTGCTATCTGTTTGACACTGTAGCAAACAAATCTAAAGCTAATTTAATAGTAAAAGTTTAGTTTAAAATTGCATAATCTAAGCGTATTGATCCAAGTTGACTGTCATATTCTCAAAGGCTTAGAGGAGGGAGGGATTAATTGACTCATTGGATAGAAAAAGCAGGGATTGTTTTAAGTGGTGTTCAACCAAACTGTATTAATGTCGCAAGTGAGATAGCTCAGGCATGAGTTTTAAGACCTTTGATCTTCTTTGCTTTGCATAGATGAAAGAATGTTCAATAAATTGCTTAAATTTGCTATTGATATTAATATATTTGGTATTGATGACTGTGAAGAGGAGGATTCTTCCTTACAAAAGAATTTGGAGTATTTGGTGAGTTGGACAGATACATGGCCGATGGCTTTTAATTATAATAAATGTAAGGTAATGCATGGGAGTTATAATTTTAATTATAATTATGATTGGAATAAACTTAGCAGTGTTATGGAAGAAAGAGGATCTTGGTGTTCTGGTTGATAATATTCAAACAATAAGGCCTGAATTTAAGGTTTCTTTAAATTTTATTTAGTGGATGGGAAGGCCTAGATGGACCAACAGGTCCTTTTTTGTTCTTAAATTTTATGTTATATTAAAGTGATTATAAATTACAACAATGGGCATGGGTATATTATTACATATGAGTGGGGATACAGTTCTAACATTTCAGGAATTATGCTATGTTTGATATCCTTAACATCCTATTGGTGATGAATTTACTTCTTTTTATTTGAATTTATTTTTCTTTAGAGAACTTTCTCTTTGGGAAGGAAGTACATGTATGTAATTTTCTGCAATACGTTTATCATATTAATTTATTTTTTATATAAATTTTCCATCTTATCCAAAACTATGTTTTATTTATTATATTTACAAGCAAAAGTACCCATCCCCAGTGATGGGAAAAGTTTAAGTTAATCAAGCAAAAGTACTCATTCCCAGTGACAGGAAAAGTTTAAGTTAATCTTTCAATGTAAATTATTTTGATAGATATGAATAAAAACCCTATAACCTGAGCACTTTTGAAAGCACTCAGGTTATAGGGTTTTTATTAATTTCTATTAAGACTTCTTGAACCTATGCATTTTTCTAACATCATGAATTTAAATTATTTCATGGACTTTAAAAAGTTAATTGTGTTGCACTCTTGTTTTCACTCGGAGCCAAATCTCTGAGCTACTTTTACTGCCCACTGTTAAAAGTAACTGCTGAGCATTTCAGTCACACTAAAAGTGTTGTTTTCTTTGGCTCTGTATCATTTAACTCTTTCCACGTGGGGGGTGATCAATGTGACCGACCTTTTAACAACAAAGTTACCCTCAGAGATTCCATACTATAACTTTTAGTATCATGTTTATCTTCTCAAAATTTTGCTAGCTTTCAGTAAACGTTAGAAATCTTTTGTACACAAAAAATCAGATTTTTAGTGAAATATTTTTACTAAAGACTTGTATGTGAATATATGGAATTAGAGTGTTGACTGCTTGAAGTGCAAAGTGATTTTCATGCTCACATTAAAAAATACTTTTCTTCATCTGAAAAATTTAAAATTACATTTGTATAGTCTCTAAAACCTGCTAAATAAATATTAAACTTTATTTTTCAGTAAAACTCTATACAGATTTGGTCAATTTATCCAACCTTGTAACCACCACAAAAAAAAATAAACAAATCTACATTACTTTTTTTTTTTTTAGAAGGACTAAAGGTTGTAACCATCTATATCTGTTTCTACCTAATCTGATTTTTTTATTGGCCTTTGAACCATGCCTAACTAATAATTCTATCATACAAGTTGTAAATTGCTCGGCAAATATATAACTCACTTTACAGTATTGAAGGACATAACTTATGAGCTGCTTGCAAGCATACCTCATGAAGAATTTTTAATATTCATTCTTTCATTATAAGTTTCTAATTTTTACATATTAGTTACTTTTATAACAATAAATAAAAAATATATATATATAAAATATATTACTTAGCTTTGATGCCTTGTTTTTTGTTGTTGTTGGTTCCCAATAAAGTTTAAGCCTACTTTTTTTTATAATGATAGTAATAGTACACTAAATAATTTAAATAGTTTTTAATTTTTTAAATAATGCATCAATGAACACAGAACACCTAAAAGCAAACAATGTCCTATAATTATTATAATTCAACTAGCTTTCTAACTAAGACAAGAGGGGCTTAAGATAATTGTTATCTGCTAGATCTGAATACTGTGAAATACATTTTCAAACTGTAGACAAAATTGACAGTATCTTGTACCGAAAACAGTGTAGCATTATATATCATTTGATAGATTAAAACTTGGTTTCTATTGGTTATAAACGATGTAATATAATATGTCAGAGAGAACTATTGGCTATTTCTGAAAGAGAGGATGGGCATGGCAAGTGGGTCTGATTTTCTTGCTTATAACTCCATAAACAAAGAAAATTGAAGACTATAAATATTAGACTTTGCCTTAGTAATATATATATATTATAATGGTTAATTCACATTAAATTCCATACTTCAGAGAGGGGTGGCAAATGAATTAGAGAAGGGGGAATACCTAAAGAATAAATGTCAAGATTCTCAAACTAGAGGGGATTGAGGGCTTATTTAAATATTTCCATATAAAATGAAGAAATTAATACTCATATTAAAATTTCATGTATTAACTATGTTCTGATGCCAAGTTTATTCATATACATCGATAATAAAGAAGTTTAATTAAATTTTGACCTACCCATAGTGAGAGAGCTATATTTTTGGAAAGAGTGGTTACCTACCTTTCTAACCATTACTCAACTTTTTGGAAGCATCTGATAAGCTTGGTTCATGCTATTTGCTTTTATATGTCGATGTATTTATAGAACCATCCTAACACTTACAGAAAAATTGAACCTGATTCATATTATGTTAATTTTAACTTTAATTAACTATTTAATTAATTTTGCTGGTTAATATCTTTATTGCTAATTCATCCCAGCTTCTTTGTAGTTATTTTATCACTGTTTCATCTCAGTTTTTCTTGATCTTTTCAACGGCTAATTTTGTGAATTACTTATTAATCTTAATCTTTGTGGCTATGATGTATTTTCTGTTCCTTAATAAGAAAATATTTTAAAATAGAATGATTTATTTTTCAAATCAAAATATGTTAAAAATATTAAAAGGTTATTTCAGTCTTAGTCACAACTCAGTTATATTTTGCAGTGATTATATGTTGAGAAGCTATTGTTTACAGGACTACTCATCTGGATCATAGTTATTGAAGGTTTAGTTGATCGAGGTTTTCCCGTGAAAGTACGAAAACTGCTGCAGTTCAATGATAAAAGTCCCGGACTTTTGAACTGCATTAGGTTATATTTTCTATCAGTATCAGCCATCAGATTGCAAGGGAAAATATGTGAGTTCACATTGCAATTTGCGATTCAAAACAACCCAGTTGCAAATTACTTTCCACTTTGCTTAGCATAATGTGCAAATCATTTCTTTCTCTTGTATGTTATTTTCAAGACCTCCAATAACACGGGGAAAGTTCCTAACATTTCAGTTTAATATACCAAAGCTGATGTTCATTCTCAGAAATTCCTGTCAAATGGCACATAAAGTATTTTCACACTTTGTCATGTGTATATCTCATGCACTTTCACTTTGCAGTAGTCTGTTCATGATGTTTGGAATGAGCCCAGTCAGTGCCCACAGCCAAACTAGACTAGACTACATATGTACAGTACCTGCACTGCACAGTTAGCATTGAGCCAGTTACAAACTCTCAGTAAAGGCTTGGTCCCAAGGAACGACCACGTGTCCATTTTTTCTTGTATATAGTTTTAATACTATAACCTTTAATACAGTATGTGTATCTTAACAAACTTTGGCAGACTTTCAATTAACATTACAAGTCATTTGTACGTAAAATCAGTTTTTAATGAAATATTTTAACTGAAAATTTTTCTGTGAATATGAATATATCGTGTCCTTTTTATTACCCTTCCAAATGCCAAATGATTTTCATGCTAAAATTAAAAATACTTTTCTTCATCACCAAGATCTCAAATTTCATTAATGTAATCTCTAAAACACCCTAAATACATTTCAAATGTTTGTTTTCAGTAAAACTTTATATTTTATCTGTTATTTTCTCTACTCTAACTTTACACAAGGTTGGTCAATTTGAGTGACCTCGAAACCATCAGAAAAAAATTGAAATAAATCTGATTTACCTTTTTTTCTTTCTCAAATGACTTCAAATTGTAACATGAAACTACATTTGTTTATCATAAGTAGCTTTAAACTTATAACAATATACATATATTTATACTAAAATTTTATTGTTTTAAAGCCCTCTAACTACTAGTACTATTCGTCATCTATATATACAAAGACTAAATTTGCATTTGTTTGCACCCTAACCTCTACAAGCCTATTGGTCCAGTCTCAGCCAAAATTTCTATGTAAACACTATGAACTAGGAGGAATATCCTAGTGGGTAATGCCTGCTGGTTAATTATTTCCAGCATATTCAGTCAATCTCAAACAGTCTTGACAGATTGATGCTTTAGACAATCTTGAATATTCTAAAGGGATTCAAGGTCAAAGTATGAAAGTTACTGGATTGTTTCTCAAACAATCATGATTTTCTTGTGGTCAAAGAGATGTGAGGGTGTTCAAGGGTGGAATCACCTCAAAATCTTTATTTGTTGGTAGATGGAAAGTAAACCACAAATGTTTATGAAGAAGCTTTGTTGTAATTTAAAAATTTTGAGATAAAGTTTATGTTCAAGTTATTACTTTGAAATCTATGATTGCTGTTAAACTTTCATTGTTTTAATTAAATTTAAAAATTCTGTGTAAGTTGATGGTTATTTCAGCTTGTTTGTAAATCATTTGAGGAACATGCAGTTCATGTTACGCTATTGAATTATATTACCTATGAGCTACTCTCCAAGTCCAAGCTGCTCGCGTGTGTTCCTTGTGAAAAATATTTATTATTATTATTTATTTTACCTAATTTAACCTAAAGAGTTTCCTGTTTTTACATTTTAGTTACTTTTATAATTATAGATAAAGAATACACATGAAAATCAAGAAATATAGTACTTACCTCACCTTCTTTTTAATTTTATTTGCTGTTGACTGTTCATGACACATAACTTTATTTTTTTTATACTGATAGCAGTAGTGTTCTAAATAATTTTTGTTTAATAAAATAATGCCTTAAAGAACATAAAATAGTAACATGCAAAAACAGACAATGTCCCATAACTATCACAATTTTTCTGGCTTTCTAACTATGCGACAAGAGCCATTGCAAATTCATCCAAGCGAATCAATACATTTCCCATGGGAACGAAGCTTGTACTGAAAGAGAAATTAACATTTTTCTCTACAGAAAACAGTGTAATATAATACCTTATTTGATAGATGAAAACCTTGGCTTTCTGTTGGTTAAAAATAATTTAGTATTAAATGTGAGAAAGAACTATTGACGAATCCTGAAAGAAAAGATGTGACAGGTGGGTGTGGCAAGAGGGTCTGATTTTCTATTTTATGGCTCTGTAACCAAACAAAATTGAAGGCTACAAAAATTATGCTTTATCTGAGTGATTACAACATTGTAATAAGTGAATTGCATTAAATTTCTTATTTCTTGGATGGATGTTAAATAATTTAAAGAAGAGAGAATGCCTAGAGAAACAAGAGGAAATCCTTAATAGCCTCAATGACACTTGAAATTCTTTTGGGCAAGAATAGGGTGAATTAATCTGTGAGACATTTTTTTTCCTTTTTTATTAGCTATATCTTTTGCACCAGCAATATCAACCATGTTTATACTCATTTTATTTTATTACTCATCAGGGTCTCTACCAGCCTACCCTCAAACTGAAATTCTTTTAGGCAGGATTAGAGTAATTAGATCTCAAATTGGTCAAGAGTTTTGTACTTGAAAAAACAAAACAACTTAGAGTCATTCTGTGAGCCGCTATGCTACAGCTAAAAATATCACACTTCTCACACTGGGGGAAATTCAGGATATTTTTTTTAATATTGCCTTATAAAATTAAGAACTTAAAACTTGTATTACTATTAAAATATGGATTATTAGCAATGATTATATGCTATACTAATTGGTATAACATGAATATACACAAAGTAATTTAATTAAATTTTGAATGTAACTCATTAAAAACTTGTGACATACACTGTAAAAGAAGCCTGTGGTGAGAGGGTTAATTACTGCTGAAAATTCACTACACATTTTGTTCATGAATAAGTCAAGGAGACCATGTTGTGATGAGAGTGATAAGTGATTGCTTGACTTAATTTAAGATATCTAGGTATTTGTTTATTCTTGGTTTTAGATTTATTATGAATGTGACCACCTTTATGTTTTTTACTGAAGTTAATATTAGTGAGTTATATATTCATCAAGTGTGAATGTGACCATTATTACAGTAGCAGATGAAATTTATTTGTAAATATTCTGAAGCATCACGAATGTCATTCCCTTTTTTTAGGCTGTGATCTTTGCAAGGTTTTCTGGTGCTATAACTGTTGCATCTATCCACTCTGCTAGAAATCTTTTGGGAGAATCACCAGAGTGGTTTGAACCAGCTCCACAGATATCTCAGGCCTATGATCGAGGGTTCTTTGTGCTGGAGGTTAAGTGTATATTTTTCTATTAGAATTATCTTTAGTTCATTACCAATATGGTTTTGTGAAGAATATGTCTATGAATCTTATATTAGTATACCAAATGTATAATACACATGTTGTTTCAGGCTCCTAATGATACATTGAACAAATATCGAAAATGTGATTTGATATCTGCTGAAAAGGCCTGGCATGATCAGGTGGTTAGGGAACTCGACTCACAATCTGCAGGTCCCGGGTTTGATTTCTCATCATACCAAACATGCTTGCCCTTTCAGCCGTGGGGGTGTTATAATGTGACGGTCAATCTCACTATTTGTTGGTAAAAGAGTAGCCGAAGAGTTGGTGGTAGGTGGTGATGACTAGCTGCCTTCCCTCTAGTCTTACACTGCTAAATTAGGAACAGTTAGCATAGATAGCCCTCGTGTAGCTTTGCACAAAATTCAAAAGGCAAACAAAACAAACTCTGCTGAAAAATGTAACAATAAGAATTGTTCTACACATGGAGCCCCCATGGTGGCTCAGCAATAAGTTAGTGAGCTTATAGCACTAAAAATTGCATTTCACTACTCACAGAGAGCAGAGCACAAATAGTCCATTGTGTAGCTTTATGCTTTACAACAAACAGAAAAAAAAATTCACACGTATCCTTCATAGAGTGGGAAAAATGGCCTAAACAATATAAAATATGTTAATTATCATAAATATTACCTATTATAAAATCAAATAATTTACAAACTTATCATGCTGACATAAAATTACACAGGCCCATGAATTTAAATTTCCCATGAAAGTTGTTTTGATTTTAATAATGGTTTTCCATAATTCAGCTACACAGATTTAGAAAATAATATTCATTTTTTTCTATCACGCAAATAATTTTTACAAATTGGGAAACAAAAAACTTACTTAGATCAAATTATTATTTCGTTTACCACAATGAACAGGTTTTATTATGTTTGTTAACAAAAATACAAACAAACTGAAGAAATGGGAAGAACATTGATGTGAAATGAATATGCAACCTAATTAATCCTGATTTTTTGTGAAATATACATCTTTTAGTCTCAAAAGTATGTGTTGTGGTCTTTCTTTTATGTATTGTGTCTGGAGCATCTTGTTTCAATGACCAGCATTAATCAGCCATCATGCTCATCTTACATCTTCCCTGATACCTCTGCTTCATTTCCTTGATGTCTTGATGAAACCTTTCCCTTTGTTCCTCACTGACAACACCGAGATTTTCAGGGAAATAGTGAATATGTGAGTCTAAGAAATGAACTTTCAAGCTCATTTTACAACCCAACTCTTTGAATTTATCGAGCATGTTATTAAAAATATTTTCATAATTTGGGTCCTTTTTGTTTCCTAAAAATTTGTCAATAACATTTTTAAAGGCAATCCATGCTTCTCTTTTAACTTTCTTCATTGTTCTTTTGGCCTGGCATGGCCAGGTGGTTAGGGTGCTCGGCTCACAATCTGAGGTTCGAATCCTCGTCACACCAAAAATTAGGGACGGCTAGTGCAAATAGCCCTCATGTAGCATTGTGCAAACTTCAAACAAACTAACAGTGTTCTTTCGAACTGTTCATCTTAAGTCAATTTCCTAAAATCCCTTCAGCCAAATTCCCTTCTTTAAGTTTTGCTTCTGAAAGAGCTGGGAATTGCCCACATAGATACTTGAAACAGTTGCCATCTTTGTCTAAGGCCTTTACAAACTTCTTCTTCAAGCCCAGTTTTATGTGAAGTGAAGGTTATAGGACTTTCTTTGTGTCAACGAAACTTTCACGTTCAATGTTTTTTATCCTTGTATCTGACTGACTTTGCATGGCCATTGCTTCATTATTCAGTGCTGATTTTGTTCTCTGCTGTCCCATTCACACAAAAAACATGGAAGTTCTGTATAACCAGATTGTTGACCCCAAAACATGCAAAGGACTTTTAAGTCTCCGCAAAGTAACCAACCATGTTCTTTGTATTTGACCTTATTAAGAAGATTTTTGTATGTTTCCTTCAAGTGAATCAAATGAGTAATAGGAACAGATCCATATATGTTACCATTGTGAAGGAGAACACGTTTTAGAATTCTTTTGGAGGAATCAACAAACAATCACCACTCACTTGGTTCATAGGCTGTAGCTCCTAGCAGTAGTATTAATTCATCAATATTGTTGCAATAAGCCATTGAACTTTCTTGAGAAAAGTATGGTATAAACTCTTTCTCATGATTTCTGTACCAGTAAAATGATGTTGTTAGTAAAAGTAAGCTCTTAGCCCAAAGCCTGGACTCCAAAATCTTTGAAGAATCCTTTGGAAAGCCCAAATCTATTAGCCGTTTATATTCTAGTGATGTGTTTTTTGTGAGTTCTTTGACAGTCATTAAGACTCTCGTGTCGCGATTGGTCTAGAGAAATCTATAGCCAGTGGTTGTCAACATTTTAAGCATAACAAAATATGACCTGATTTAAATGAAAATGATTCATTTGTGTAAAAATACATATAATGTTTCGTGAAAATTCTGTACATGATGGAGAAAAATGGATATCATTTTCGGATTCAGTGTACAGGAATTACTGTAGAAGATGTAAAAATTTCAAGACAATAAAACCATCGCTGGGCTTGTCTTCTCTATGTACCATTTCTCCTTGTGTCTGATTATCAAAGAAGTGAAACTACATTACAGTACCATTGTTTAAGTTACTACTGGTTATTAAAGTACAATATGTGTTGCAGTCTTGTTCATAAACATATAAGAAAATATTGAAAAAATGTATTTGTTAGCCAATTGACATATTAAATGTTTGAAATTGAATATGAAGTTTGTTTATATGAATCATCTTGTGTGTGAGATTTTCAAACATTGAGAGACACTAAGAAGAATTTTTCAGAATAACTTTAGTAAACTTTTTTAGTCTTAGTGTGGGGATATACTTCAAAACTTTCCAAGTTTGTGGTTTAAGTCAAGACCATTGTTAATTTCAAACCAGACTTAGTGGTAAAAGAAACACAGGGATGTACTTGATATGTCAACTGTTTCTGTTTCCAGGGGTCATGTGAGTGTCCTTTCGTGTTTTCCACACTAAAGCCAATTATATAAGGTTTTGAGGATCTATCTTCAATAGAATGTACAACAATTTCAGTAAACCCATTAATTATAATTTTGTAAATTTAAGAAATTTCTCTGTTTTCCTTGGTTCTTTGGAATGCAAAATGCCTGGTGGCAAAAGTGTTAACATCCCATTATAATGCTCTCAAAAGTTAAGTTTTTTGTTCAAGTACTCTGAAAGTTTTGTAATGGGTATGTTAAAAACATAATTTGTATGCTTAGTATATAAAGTGTTTTGTGAACTTTGTTTTAATAATCAAATTTCTGTTTATTTCACATAGTTAATTATCTTTTAGTAATAGAACTATGAAATCCATAGGAAATCAAAAAATTTTAAGTAGCCATTTTTTAAATTTATTTTATTAAGAAACATTTAGTTTTAGTAATAAAAATTACAATCCGAAGATGAACAGTGACTTGACCAGTATGTATCCTTATGAAATAACAGGATACATCTGCTTGAGGTATGTAGTGGTTGAACAGATATGTTATGGAAGCAGCTTGTGTCACTTTCCTGGGTGGAGATCCTTCTTGATTATGTTGTGTCCTGTTCTCACTGGCTTTTGTGTTTATAGACTCTCAATTCTTACAAGATGCTGCATTTACCATGGCTGGTGTATGAGTTCTTGGATGCCTCTTTGTCGTTGACCTAGGTTCCCTAAGTTGATCCATATTCCTTTGTTTTCCAGTGCTATTAAATACGAGGAATAACCACATTTTGGAAATTCTACATCTCTGATCTGAACACATCTTTATGATGGGAGTAAATGATTATTTTGCATTGGAAAGGGCTTTTTCATATTCTTCCCAAAAGCAATCAATTTTTTGAGGGATCACATAACCTATAAAATGTTAAAATGTACTTTTTATACATGTCATTCCACTGTGACTTTTTTTTTTCAGTTGTATTTGTCACTTGACTTACTGGTCTGCATATTCAAAATAATTTTGATATAACATCTATGCATAGATAATTAATAATGTTAATTAATGTTATTAATAGTTTTGAACTGTAGAGTATTAACTACAAATTATAAAAATTTCTTCATTTAGTGTGAGAGTCAAATTTCAAGTAAAAAAAGGGCACTCACATCAGAAAGTGAAGTAGAAGAAAGCAGTGATGAAGAAGAACTTTCTCTTGTTACTCGTTCAGCAAGGACTGTCAAGAAAGCCCTCTATATCATCACTGACAATGAACGATTCCAACCACCTAGGAAAAAGCCGAAGTAAGCCTGCAAAGAATTCATATTTTTAGTATAGTAAGCACTTTTTAACTTTTGTACTACAAGAGAATTTCTTCAGAGAGACATATTTTAAAATATGATTGTTTAAGGGATCATTTTATACATTATAAATGGTGTTCTTGTTATTCTTGGGTAGATTTTGTCAACTTTCAAGTTAAAATAACATTAACATAGAAACTTTTATTCATTTTTTTTTCTGCCATACAAAATTTCTTAAACCTCTTAAGAGGTTAGAAAACAAAGTAATTTCAACATAAGCAAAGAGTAAGAAAAGAAAATACTTGATGAATCTAAGTTTCAAATGGACAGCAACTGCCTGTTGTAGAAACCTGCAAATGTGGAGGACAATGTTTCGAAAATCTTCCGCCTTTTGTCTTCAGGTCAGTGTGTGTGTCGTGTTGTTTGATCTTTATAGTGTTCTAGTGGATTTTGGAGAGCGTGTTATGATTGGTTGTTTAAAACACGTTTCTGATTGGAGGAGAGACTGCCTGTAGCATCAACCAAGGGTAGCCATAGTTTACTCACCTCTAATCCTGAATATCTGTTTAGTAAAGGTTTTATTGTGTTAATGTAACACTACACCACACACACATACACACACACACACACACACACACACACTGACCTGAAGACGAAAGGC